CTCGGCTGCATGGGGAGCGGCTGGCAATCAGCAGGGTTTAGCCGTGCAATTTAGCTGTAAGTTCGGCAGCAAAAGTGCAGGCAGAGCAGGGAGGTAGCAGAGCTGGGGCTGAGGAGTCACTCACTGGCTGTCACCTCCTGCAGCTTGGGTGTCCTGCAGCTCTGGTGCATCTTGCCAGCCATGCCCTGGCAGCACCCGGCTGAGCGGAGAGGAGCCAGAAGAGCAGCACAGCACTGGCGCTGGCTGTCCCAGTGCTCCCACAGCCGCACAGTGCCATACGCTGGTCTGTCCCCGCAGCCGCACAGATCCATTTCTGGACAGTCAGTTCCCTCTAGAGGATGCATTTGTCAGGGCGAGCAGCCTCCTGCTGCCGGCGCGACGATGGGGCCGTGCAGGACCTCCGTGGGAGCTCTGCACCCGCTCCGTCCCTCCCGTCCACGCCGCAGGGTCTGGTGAAGCCCAGCGCCAGCCAACGCTCCCGGCACTGTCAAGGGGACGCCAAGGAGCGCAGGCACGGTGCAGCTGATGGGCAGCCATTTCTCTGCTGACAACAGGCTGCGTGCTGCACAGAGCAAATCTCACGCAGTGTGCAGCACAGGGCTGCGAATCACACCTCTCCAGCTGCTCCCAGCTCCTGCTCTCCCAAACACCATCCTGGACCCTTCTCCGCTGTCACAGCGGGCTCCAGCGTGAGCCCATCTCACAGGCAGCACAGCTTCTTGTGTACCCGCCTGCACGCCAGCATCCCCACACTCCCATGGAGCCTCCCTGACCAGCAAGCCGCCCAGTCAGTCCCAGTGTGGCCCCATTAGCAAAACGCAGGCAGGGTGATGGTGGGCACAGCTCTGGGGGCTGCTGTGGCTACTATGGCCAGGAGGGGACAGCAGGGTTTGGCCACTGCCCTGGCACACGGTCAGCCCCGCAGCACTCCCCTGCCCGCGCGGAGGGCTTGGGGCAAGCGCCCGGCACGGAGACAGGGTGCCGTGCCTTGCAGCATCGGGAGCGAGGAGGCAGCGGAAAAGGATGACCTAACAGCAGCTAAATTTAGACAGATGCCAGTGGAGTGAGAACATTTCCCCTGTGGTCACAGTGTTTACATAGCGAGCAAGGTCCCAGGTCATCCTGCAACCCGCAGCACTTGCTCTACCTGATGGGATCTGGCAAACACCCAGGGAGCCGCAAAGCATCGCACCGCCAGCTCCCAAGTTGCGCGGCAGACGAGCAGGACCAGCCCGCCCTTCCCTGCTGCTGGGCCCTCGCGGCAGAGCTCAGGAGGCCAGGGTACATGGGCAGCCAACGCACCCTGCTTCTGCTGGGCCAGGGATGAACTGGGAGCCCCGGGACTCCAGGCCCCGGCACGGACCAGCATGGGTGAGGTCAGGGAGTCTGCTGCAGGAGTGACTCACGCAGCAGGAGCTGCGGGACGGGAGGAGCACGGTGCAATAGCCTCCCTGAATCAGCCAGCTGCCGAAACTGCCCTCTCCCCACGCCCACCGCTGGTGGGAGGATGACGGCGTCGTGCCCAGCCCCGGTCCCATGCTGCACGTGGGAGGCACTCCCTGCCCCGCCACCCTCGGGAGCAGACGTCCTCACATCCCAGCGAGATGCCTCCAAGCAGCCCTGCTCAGGGCAGAGCCACAGCAGCAGCCGAGCCCCAAGCCCCAGCTCTACAGCCAACATAAAACATCCCCATCTCTGCTCCGTAAGGGGAGAAAATTGCCACCTACTCACCTGCCCCGGGGTCCATCTCCTGGCACCCAGCACCGTGCCGCAGGAGTTGCTCACAGCCAGCCCAGGCTGGGAGCTGCTGCAGCAGAGCCCGGTGAGTGCCGGAGCCTGGCACGTCCTGCCCGTCACCTCCTCTCCCGGTGACACAGCCGCCTCACCGCCCGTGCCGCAGCAGGGCCAGGCACTGCTCCTCGCCTGCCGGTTCAACTGGTTCCCAGGGGAGAAAGCAGAGGAGCTCCGGCAGACATCACTCACGCGATGGACGGCACACCGCCCGTGCCCCAGCCCGGGACGGCTGCTCCCAGCCCAGCCTCCCACCCGCACAGGGTAGGTGCGATGCCTGCCCACGCGGGCAGCTCTGCCCTCCCGCCGCTGGCAGGGACAGGAGCCCTGGCAGAGGCTGAACTGGTAGCGCGGGGAGCCCAAGGGGCAGGGACACCCTGGACACAGGGGTGTCCAGCCCTGGCAAGGTGCCTGAGTGGCTCTGTCCTCCGACTGCCACCTCCTGGCAAACAGCAGCAGCCAGGAGTCAGGCAGGGTCCTACAACAAGCCTGGGCTTGGGCGTTTGGGGATGCCCACAAAAGTTACGGCCCTGTGCAGGGCGAGGGCACCCACGGGGAGGGCAGGACCCCAGGGTGACAGGGTGTCACCCACCCGCTGCCCCCAGCCACAGACACCTCCCGGTGCGGTGCACTTACAGCTGTATTGGATCATCTTCTCAAAGCCGTGAGCCGCAGGGCTAGGTGGCAAGCACCGCCTGCTTGCAGACAGAGGGGGAAACCGTCTCCCGTGGCTGCAGGTAGAAGGTAGCAAACAGGGATAACCATTAAGACCTTGGAAACTGGGCAGCCAGGGGCAAAATCCCTCGCTGTGCCCCAGTGCAAGCGGGCAGGGCAGGAGCCAAGCCCCAGGCAGCCCTCCCCAGGAGCGAGCATCTCGGCACCAAGACGCAGAGGCGACGCCTGGGACGCGTGGAGAGGCTGGCCAGGGAAGGGCGGGATGCAGAGCTGGCGGGATGCGGAGGGGACGATGCACGTGGCAGAGAGGACGGGACTGCTCCTCGCCAGGCAGCGGAGAGGAAAGGGACAGGGTGCGTGTCCATGTGGCTCGGGGAGGCTGGCAGCTGCTCCGAGCCGCGGGCCAGCCCTGCCTAGCCGTAGACAGAGCCAGGGTTCCCAGAAGCCTGCGTCACGCCAGGGCGCCGCGCGCAAGAGGCCGGGGAAGGGTGACGGGCTGGAAACACAGCTGCGCTCCAGGAAGCAAAGCCCCGAAGGCGTGCGGAGCTGTGACATCTGCAAACCTCAGCTGCTTCCTCAAAGCCTTCGCTTAACCTCAAAGGAGGACGAGCCACTCCCTGCTGTGCCACCTCCCACCACGGGGACGCTCTCCGTTCGGTGGCAGCGGGGCCAGGTCCGACCGCGAGGTGTGCGGGGCTGGCACGGGGATGCTCCGGGAAGGCAGCCCAGGCCGCGAGGGGGTCTCTGTGGCACGGCACAGGGCTGCAGCTGCTCAGGTGGTGCTGGATGCATGGGACTGAGCTCACTCAGATCCCTGCTGGCCCAGCAGCACCCATCTCTTGAGCTGCTTTTGCTTTTAAGCCACAGTTTGTTCCCTGACAAGGGACAGGCATGCCCAGACTGAACAGGGGAGCTTGCTCCACCGTGCTGCATCTCATGCCGCATCAGGCGCCCACACAGCCGTTCGCCTGTGCTGCCCCAGCCAGGACCTACTGTAGCACACCAGGGATGCAAGCTCTCTGCCCAGCTCCTCTGCACAGCCCCTTAAACCAGTTTGCAAGCTGCAAGCTCCCACAGTAGCACCAACCACCCTCCTGCACAAAGCGTGTGGCTGGACCTGCCGACCGCCGCTGCCCACCCGCCATCCCATGGCCTCTGGGCATCGCACAGACCACGTGGGCGGGAGCCAAGACTGCAGCCCGACGGGTCCCCACGCACCCCAGGGGGGCTGCATCCTCACCAGTGAATGCCAGGAGGGTGTCCCTTACCTGCAAAGCCACATGCAGATGCCAGGATCCCTGGTCAGGCTACCAGGTTGCGCTGCCTGCTCTCCCCAGAGCCGGCAGGGTCCCTGCTGTGGCAGGGGCGAGCTGGCACAGCGACAGCACAGCTCCCCGGCCGAGGAGCTGCACGGCCGGCACGCTCCGCCGTCTCCCCACGGGCACAGCGCACACACCTGGCAGCAGCAGCTCTCCCCGACCGTTGGGAAAGCTCGATTACAAAAGGAGGAGAGGGTAATTAGCTGCTCGGCAAATCCTGCACACCCACCACTTCCAGCGTGAGTCTGCACAAGGCCAGGCTTTCCAGCCAGCTGCCAGCGGGGCCGACCACAGCCCGCAGCCTCCCTGACCCCAGCCCGCTCCCTGCACCAGCCCTCGCCCAGCCGGAGCGAGCGGCTCCTGCACGCCTAAAGCTAAATGCCCATCCTGCCCGGCAGCGCTGCCCGCAGCAGGCTAAAGCGAGCCGCTCTTCATCCCAGAGCGATTATTCCTGGACGCGTAGCCCAGCTTTGCATCAGACACACGCAGCTCCACGAGCAGCCTCAGGATGTGCCTACAGGCACAGCACTTTCCCAAAACAGGGCTCGAGGGCTGTGAGAGCCCCCCTCCCCACCCACCCCTGCCAGCCCCATCTCGTGCAACATCAATGAGTTCAACCAAAGCCGAGGAGAAAGAGGGATGTTCGTCCCAGAGGGCAGGAAAGGGAGTCTGGAGGGGCCACGCTCAAACCCCTGCCCTGCCCAGCTTGCCAGGGCACCTGCTGTTACCATCGCCGGGCAGGGGCTGGGCACCCCGCTCCCACCGGGGAGCAACGGCTTCATACAGCCTGCCCAGGCCACCCGCTACCCCGCACAGCCCTGCCCGCGCCCCCAGCCCACATGGCAACCCCAGAGGTAACCTGCCACGGGCACCCGCTCGCTTTCCTTTGAACCTCACTCCGGTGCTGCCAGGAGCGCCTGCCAGCCGTGACCCGGGGCTGCGCGGGGACACACAGACCGGGTGACCCGAGAGGCAGGAGCATATCATGGCCCGGTAACCTCACGCGTAAACTCTTCTCCTTTCCTCCTCCACCTACTAAAACCTCTGCTTAAAAACAACCCGCTGCAATGCGGAAGAGAGACAAAGAGCGGGACGGCTGCGGTTCCTCTTATCATCAGGAGAGGAGCAGGAAAAATCTTGCTCTGTCAGTCAGTTCACTCCTGATAAGCTATTTGGTGACAGCGGCTCCGCAGGTGAGTCACCCTCCAGTGGCAGATGCTCAGGAGATTGTTGCGGGCGATGGTGGTGCTGATAGACCGGTGTTATATTACAATACAAATCATAATTCCTGTTTCACAAGTCCTGCTGTGCGTTTTAAGGAGCGCTTGGGCGGTCCGGCCCCAGTGTTAGTACAGCGCAGGCAGAGCGGCACAGGGGCGGCGGGAGCATCGCCGGCCCGGGCTCCCTGGGCATCGGGGCACCCACAGCCTCCCCGTGTCCCAGACTGGAGGATATTTGCCGGGTTTTTGCGGGCAGAAGACCACGTCAGAGCTGGAGGAACATGGTGAGTTACCGACAGCTGTGCCCACCGCTCTGCCCCCTCCCTGCACGGCAGCCCCCAGCCCCTCGCCCCGGGAGCGGGCACCCCGCCACCGGCTCCTGCAGCATCCAGGCGGGGAATGATTTTACCCGTCGCTCTCAACACCCCGCCATGGCTGTTGGATACGGCACTTGGCTGTCCCCACGAGCTCTCGCTCCCGCATTTCTGTGGCTTGCTTTGGCCCTCTCCCAGACCAGGAAGCAGCCAAGTGCGTCTCGCAAGTCTGCTCACCAAGGGGAATGCACCCTTCTGGAGAGTCTTACCCCCTCCTCGAGAAGGGGCTGGTTCTTCGGCGATGCCTGGGCGAGAGCCCGGCCGGTCCCCCTGCTCAGCCCAAGGGACGCGCTCGGCTCGGCTTCCTGCAGTGCCTTTTGCAAGCAAAGCCATGGCAACCAAACCCCAGCCTGGCACGCAGTCCCTCCCTAGGAGGAAAAGGTTTCCTTAACAGAGGGCAGCCATACATGGCCCAGCTCACCGGGCACCGTAAAACCCTCCACCAGCGATAGACGGGGGCATTATCCCCTCCGGGCCGGGGAACTCGCCCCCCTGCACGGCGGCAACGGCTGCACACACCCACGGGTTAAACCCCCTGCAGCCAAGGAGCTAGCCCCAGATCTGAGCACCCTGCACCCTTTGAAGCCGGGTTTTGCACAGAACATCCCACCTTCCCTCGTTCAGGAGCAGCTGGGACAGCTACTCAGGGCACCACGGAGCCTTTCGGCCGCACGCTGCGGAGGGCAAACGGCAAGAGCCCGACTGCACCCCAGCTGCCCAAGCCTGCTCAGATGGCGTGGGCGCAGAAGTTCATCGGGAGTCCATGGCTCGGGGGCTGGCATTTGCACAGCTGGAGGGCAGGCTGGCCATAGCGGCATTAGCGTGTTTCCAGAGAACGCAGCAAGGGAGCTCAATTAGTTCCGGCAGCCTTGAGTTCTCCAGGAAATCATGTGCTTCCACTCCACCAGGAGCTGGCGCAGCTCTTGCCTTGCTTTGAATTTAACCAGTGCAGCTCTTGCTTGTAGTGTGGTTTTGAGAGCAAGCGGGCAGTCATGGAGAGGCAGCCTCTGGGGCAGCTCCAAGCCGTGAATCCGTTTGAAACGGAGGAGGTTCGTGGACTGAAGAAAATGCAAGAAAAACCCCAAACAACCAACAACGGGCAATACCTTCTCTGTGTGGGAAGGTGGCCAGCACCACAGCATCACCTTTCCCACCTGCGTCCACACCAGACCTGCACAGGGCTGTCAAAAAGGAGCCCGACACCAGGCAACGTGACGGGCACAAGTACAGGCAGCTTGCGGGCAGGCAGGGGGAGCTGCCGTGCCCCTCAGCCGCAGGGCCCCGGCTTTGCCCCCCAGCCTGGAGGAGCCGTCGCGGGCTGGGGGGCGGGGGGGGGCCCCTGCCGTGCCCCTCAGCCGCAGGGCCCCGGCTGTGCCACGCAGCCTGGAGGAGCCGTCGCGGCCGGGGCCCTGGGACCGTTCCCGCGGGGAACCGTTAGGATCCCATTACCCGGGTCATGCCCGGCCCGGGCCCACAGTGACACAAGAGGTCAGCATGAGGAAGGACCAGCCCCACGTGCCCTCGGCTGGCTGCGCTGGAGGACGTAGGTGGCGTTTGGGAGCAAGCCGAGCTGGCATTACAAAATTCCCAGGGCTCCTGCAGGCACCGGGCGCCGCAGATAGGCAGCTCAGGAAGGGCAGCCGAGATGGGAGGTCCAGGAGACACGCTCCCCTTCCCACCCTGCCCTCCTGCTCCCAGCAGGTCCCCGACTCCCTGCGACCAAGGGCCAGGCTCCGTGCCCCCAGGAGCTGATCTGGAGCTGGCATCCCCTGGCAGCGCTGCAGTGTCCTCACAGGAGCCAGAAAGACCCGAGGGGCTGTGCAGAACCCACCCAGGGGCCAGGCGCTCGCCCCGACTTGCCTACGCTCGGCATCGGTGCTGGACAAGCCCAGCTGCTCGGAGAAAGGCCCCTGGCAATTCCTCAAATGAGCCAGACGGCTGCATGCTGGGGCACAGCCACATGCCCGCAGCCCCGCCAGCACCAGGCAGGATCCGGTCCTCCACTGCGCAGGTCACATCTTGCTCCCGGGCTCGGGAGCAGCCGAAACTGGCAGCCCAAGCCAGGCAGCAGGGCTGGGGAGGCAACATTTCCTGGCTGGGCGAGGGGCAGCGACGGCGGAGCTAGCAGCACATTAAATGCACGCTATCTTTGTGTGTTAACCCACAAATAGTGGCTTGGCACTCGCCTGTAAAATCCTACTGGTAGAGTCTTTGTGCATGGCTAACCATGCCCAAACACCGTGGCCCAGAGAGGGAGGGCTGCACCACTCCCTCCTACCCGCCTCGGGCTGGAGCACAGCCCCCTTACGGCCTTACCGCGTCCCTGGTCTCACTGCACCGCTGGTCTTCAAAGCCCCAGCCTCCGAGCCCTGAGGCTGCGTGGGGACATCTGCTCTCATTTGAGACAACGAATGCAGCCATCTCCAGCCCTCTGCTGCCCAGGGGAAAGCGCGCTGCTCCCGAAGCTCGGCAGCCAAAGGAGTAAAGGCTTCTCAACTCCAGACTCTCCCGAATCGTGGTCCTGGATCTGCGGGTTTATTGCGGTGTTTTCAATCTTACAGAACCATAGAATCCTTTAGGTTGGAAAAGACCTTTAAGATCATCAAGTCCAACTGTTAACCTAGTGCTGCCAAGTCCACCACTAAACCACGTCCCTAAGCACCACATCCTCCTTACCTCTACTCGTGCTGGGTACAGGCCCTGCAAAGAAGCCCGTCTTACCTGTCGTGGTGGAGTCCAGAAGCAACAGGAAAGGAAAAGAGCTCGCTCGCGGCTGGAAGGGCGTTCAAGGGAGCGGCAAGCGTGCTGCTTTCCACAGCCTCAGCAGGGCAGGAGCACGCTTTCAAACAGCAAGCTGCCAGGAAGCAGCTCAACAGCGGGGCACCAGCGGGGCTGCAAAACAGGGCAACAGAAGGTACAGTGTCCACCGAACCCCCCCCAAAGGGGCTCTGATCTTTGCCCAGCACCAAGCCACCCACCGAGGAGGGGGGCGACGGCTGGCTGGTGCAGCTCACGGGACCTTTCCTGCTGCAGTTAGGCATCTCCCTTACGAGAAGCTATTACAGGAAAGTAATTTGAAGAGATCAAGCGGCACCAATGCCTTATTCATCACTTGCTCCAGCACTGCCTGCTGCCGAGGCTGTGTTTACTGTGTGCCCTAGCAGCGGCACAGCCCTCCCTCCCCGCCCCGGGAGCACTTGTTCCCATGGGCCGGGCTGGTTTCTCCAGCGGCTCCGGCAGTCTGTCAGGGAGGACTCGGGCCGCGCCACTCGGTTTCTGACCGCGCACTGGGCCAGCTGCAGAATATAACCCCCATCGTGGCATGCCTGGGTGGCACAGCCCTGCAGGCGTGTGTATTTTGACTCAGGCTTTCTTAGCACATCAGAAAGTGCCTCTTTCATAATGCCTGTGACTTCGTAAGCCTCTGGTGCATTAAAGGCACCACCTGTGTAACATTAGTAGCCAGTTACTGGAATGGCACAGGTGACGTCCGTGGGAACAACGCAGCTGGTGATCCCGGGTGACAGCAGAGCCAAGCGTTGTCGCACCAGGACGTGCCACCCCCCCGCCTCCGTCCCCAGCAGCTCTAAAGCTACCTCGGCTGTAGGCTGGGGCAGTTTCCCTCCTGATCCTCCTGGTGAGCCTGGAGCAAGCCAAAGACACAGCAGCCTCTGTGCCTGCCCAGGCTTAGCTGATCCTCCGCAGTCTCTGGGCTGCCCTCCCCGGGGTGGCTGAGCATGTTAGCTGTGCGCTTGGCCTGGGAGTCACCACGGGGCCAGCTAGCCACGTCGCTACAGACTCTTCCCGCCTGCCGGCTGCTTTTTGGCTGAAGTTTCAGCTCAGTAACTGTTTTCCCCTCTGGTTTGCAGGATTTAGCCTCCGAGCGGCTGAATGGCACAGGTAATACCCACGGGAGCTGGGGACGCGGGTGCTGCCAGGCTGAGCCTGCCGACGCAGGGCCACGCTCCTCTGTGTTGCAGGTCCCAGCAGAAGACGCAAAGCCTCCGTGGCGCTGGAGTCCTTCAAGCGGATCGGCATCCCCGTCCTGGCAGCGGCGCTCAGCCTCACCTGCCTGGCTACGGTCGGGTTCCTGGGTACCGCTCCTGCTCTCCTCTCCCCCCTCCTCCTGCCGCTGCTGGGCACAGCCACGGCTCAGCAAACGCAGCTCCGGACCCAGGGCTCAGCCGGGACTGGCTCTGCCGCTTTCTTGCTGAGCCCCCGCGCGCAAGCCCTGAGCCTGCCCAGCACCACAAGCTCAGCACTGAGCTCCTCCTTTCCCTCCAGTTAAGGTTTACCTGGACTACTACTACTTCTTCTGCAAACAGCCCCTGAAGCTGGTGCCGCTGCAGCAGGTATGTGACGGGCAGGTGGACTGTCTGCAGGGCGAGGATGAGGCCAACTGTCCCCAGTGGGTCCCTGAGGGGCCACCAGCTGGTGGTGAGTCCAGGACACCCTGCTAGAGCTCCAGAGGGGCTGGGCTGCTGCAGCAAGCCTCCGCCTGCTAGAGTCACCTGCGGCAACGCTGACTTTGTGTCTGTCTCCAGCCCGTGTTTCCAAAGACAGATCCATCCTGCAGGTGCTTAACAGAAACACCGGAGCCTGGTCCTGCGTCTGCCACGACCACTTCGACCTGGTGCTGGCAAAAGCAGCCTGCGAGCAAATGGGCTACAGGAGGTACACGGCTGCTTTCTCTATCCCTCTCCCATAAAAGCTCTTTTTGAGTGGGGCTCTGTTTACTTTTAAAGCACTCAGAGCTCTGCACTAATGGTTTCAGCCCATCCCCACCGCGCAGAGCACTCTGCGTATCCCTGGGAGCTGGCTGCTCTCCGTGCTAGAAGCCCTGGCAGCTTCCCATGCAAGCACAGCGCTGCGCCAGCGTCCCCCGCTCCATCCCCAGCCCCCGGGCACCTCGCCCTGCTCCTACCCCTCACCTCACCTCACCCCCACCCACCTGCAGCCACCCACGCAGCAGGGCTGTCCTGCAGCGCCCAACAGCAAGCACGCACGGACTCACCTCACCAGAGCAGCCCCTGCGGGGGCAGATGCAGAGCCCAGCCCAGGTCCTCGCCACCCACGGAGCTCTGGGAAGGGGGGTGTGGGACCACGCTCCCCTTTTAAAGCCCCAGGAGAGCAGCAGTTGGCCGGGGGTGTGATGCTGCGCAGCTGTGGGCAGGGCTGGGTCCTCGCAGCTGTGATGAAGGCCCATTTCACCCACCTGTGTCGGCCTCGTGCACTGCCCTGAGCTAGCAGCAAGTTTGTAGTGCTGCATTCAGCTGAAGCTGGTTAAACCCGAGATCTGGGGAAACAGCTCGCTAGCCCTGTGTGTTTGGTATCAGGCCTGGATTAAGGGAGGGTTTGAGTTAGGGGTATACTAGGGAGATGGGTTCTGCTGTTTGAGCCCCTCTAGGAGCCTAGGCTGAGCCCAAGATGGTATTTTCCAGTTCCAAAAAGTCAGGGATCGAGGCTTTGAGCACAGGCCCCCAAAAGTCACAACAGCAGGGACGCCCTGAGGTCCCCTGGGAGCTGCCTGCCCCAGGCTTCCCTGAGCAGCCGGGAGTAGTCTCCCTCCCTTCGACACGCTCCGGTCCCTGCTCCTGAGCTCAGTGGCCAGTCCCCCCCTCCTGCCCCAGCCCTTCAGGGCTGCGGCACTTCCCTCTGGCATCCCTGTGTCCCTGTCCAAGGAACCCCCTTTTTCTACGGGGTCTTTCTCTTGCTCGCTGGCACAGGGTCCGCATTCCCTTCCTAGGCTCCTGCTTCCTCCCTCTCTCACCAGCTCTTTGTTGGGGCCATGGGCAAACGTTTCGGACCTATTTGCAAAGCTTCAGTCCCTAAAGTTTCACAACTGGGTTATACCACCTTTGGCTCAGTCTGAGCCAAACCCACCAAGCTTCCGGGCTGCCGGAGGTGCTCAGGCACCAGCGCCTGTCCTCCCCCAGCACCTGCGCCCCGTTGGTCGCGTGCCTGGGGCTGCGCGCCCCAGCGCGCGCTTCCTGACCCCCGGCCCCCCGTCTCTTTCAGCACCCCCGCTTTCCGGGCGGCGGAGGTGGGCGCAGGGCAGCTCCTGCCTCCCCGCGAGGTCGTGCTGAGCAACGGCAGCCTCCAGATGCCCGAGCCGGGCAGGTGAGTGGTGGGGCAGCACCGAAGTGGCCGCCGTGCCCCTCGCCCTGCAGAGGAGCCTGCTGGGCCTGGCCGCGGAGCCAGAGCCTCTCCCACGCCGAATCCAGCCCTTTTCCTCCCCCTTCCAGGAAATGTCTCTCTGGATCGGTTGTTTCGCTCTTTTGTTCCAGTAAGTAGCACGATGCTGTTTGCACCTTGTGAGCACACAGGGCCTCCTGCTGCTCCAGGTCCTCGTTCCTGGTGCAGCTCCGTGTGCTGCGCTGCGGCCACAAGAGCTCGGCTCTGGCCCAAGCCCTGGCCCTCCCCGGTTCCCGCGCTGTTGGCATGAGAAAAGTTGGATGTAATTACTGCTAACCTTCTTGTTAAGGCAGCATAACCCTCCCAGAAACGAAACACCTAAGAGAGGCTTACCCGGCTGCCTGGATGGGTTTACTTTTGCTGATGAATTACCCTGATTAAACTAATCCGCCCGGTGGGCTGGGGAAGGCAAGGAACGGATGAACCCGTTTCAGCAAGCCTGGGGACGATGTGCAAACAGAGGACAAAAGGGGGTGTGCCAAGTGGCCCACGAAGGGGTGACACAGGCAGCGTCACGGGGGGCCACGCTCCCCTCCCTGGGAAGCGCGGGAGCCTCCGTCCCCGCTCACCCCCGAGGACGGAGACGGGCAGAGCGGGTGCTCTTTCTCTCCCCGCCGCAGCAGCTAACGTGTTGCTTTGTCGTTGCTCCACCGCCTGGCAGAAGACTGCGGGGAGAGCACGAGGACTCCGCGCGTGCTGGGCGGGAGCCCGGCCACCATCAAGGCTTGGCCGTGGCAGGTCAGCTTGCAGTACAAGAAGGAGCACATCTGCGGCGGCAGCATCATCGACCCCAGCTGGGTCCTGACGGCAGCGCACTGCTTCAAGTGAGTCGGCGACCTCCCCGCTGCAGCGCACCCGTCAGCCAGCACCGACCTGCCAGGGCTGGGTCGGCTCCTCGAGGCCAGGCTGAGGTCCTCTGGGTTTAAGCCACGTGTTGCTTAAATGTCCCATAATGAACACGTCTGCGCAGGGCTTTGTGCCCCTCGGTCCGATGCAGCTGACTGATGCTGAGCAGGGCAGCGGGTAGGCAGGGCTTTGCTGCCTGTCCCCGCAGCAGTCGTGGAAGGGAACGAGGGGAGCAGTAACAGACATGTCTGTGCACAGGAACAACCCCATCGTTGAGAGCTGGCACGTGAAGGCTGGCTCCGACCTCCTCTCGGGCACGGCCACCCTCGCTGTGGAGAAGGTCTTCCTGGCTCAGGTGACGCCCGCGTCTCCCAAGGACAATGACATCGCCCTGGTGAAGCTGCGGTCTCCCCTACATGTCTCAGGTGAGACGTGGCACACGCCTCCTCGGAGCCAGAGCTCGCAAAGGCAAAGCTCGCTAGGCACCGAGCAGCGGTGCGGAGAGGGCCAGGCGTGAGCGGTGCCTTACCGAGAGCGCGGCGGGGAGCTGGGTGCCCGGCCGGCGCGTGGCCCTGGCCAGTCCGGAGAGGGGCACCTTCCCCGCGAGCCTCCCCAGACATCTCCTGCGCCTCACCTCTCCCTTCCAGAGAGCAGCAAGCCCATCTGCCTGCCCTATTTCGATGAGGAGCTGGTGCCAGGCACATCCCTGTGGGTGACAGGCTGGGGCTACACGCAGGAGCACGGTGAGCGGGACAGCGCAGGGGTGAGACAAGGGCAGAGTCCCCCCCCAGCACCGTGTGCGGGTGGAGACGGGGCCGGTGGGCTCCCTGCTCGCCCAGGGCTGCTGGGGGTCCCTCTGAACCGCCACGTTTCACGCAGGCAAACTGTCGGAGACCCTGCAACAGGCGGAGGTGAAACTCATAGACAGGGAGAGCTGCAACCGGGCCGCCTACCACGGGGAGGTCACCGAGAAGATGCTGTGTGCCGGCCTGCCCCAAGGCGGGGTGGACACCTGCCAGGTGGGGGCGGCCGGTCCAGCAGGAGGGGGTGGCTGGGTGGGCACCTATCAAGGAAAGAGCCCCTTTCAGGGAAGAGCTGTCCTCCTGGCAACGGCCGCGAGCTGCAGCTGTGAGCAGCGGCACCCAGCGTGCTGGGGGCCGGGGGGCTCCGCAGCCCCCGCTCAGACGGTTTGTCCTTCGCAGGGGGACAGCGGCGGGCCCCTGCTGTACTCGGGCGGGCACTGGCAGGTGGTGGGCATCGTCAGCTGGGGCCAGGGCTGCGGGACCCCCAGCACGCCCGGCGTCTACACCAGCGTCCGCGCCTACCTCAACTGGATCTACGCCATCCGGAGGGTCAGTGCCGTCCTGCTGAGACCGCTGCAGCAACGCGCACGGCTGCTCTATCGCGCAGGTTCTGGGGGGCGGTGGGAAGGGTCAGGGCCCCCTCGGCGGCTCTGCACAGAGGAGAACCGCACCGGCGGAGCGCAGCATCGCTGCAGGGCAGGCGCAGGGATGGGGCTGCGGCCAGCCAAGCCCCTTTGGCTCTGCGCGGGAGCCGAGCCGGCTCCTTAAGGACGCGACTCGTTTGCCTCCTGGTTTCAGCTGCCCTTTCAAAGCTTGCAATTTCTTCTCTCCCCCTTTCTCTCCTTCCAGTCGGAGCTCTGAGACCTGCCTGACAGTTCCCTCCCCTCTCCCCAAGCCTCCCTCCCCGTCCCTACGCGCTTGGCTGTCTCGGCTCCGGCAGCAGCTGGGAAATGGATCTGAAGCCACGGAAGGTGAGCGGTGCCTCCCGAACCCTCGCTGGCAGGCTGTGATTTAGCACGCCAGAGGCCAGCCAAGGAGGCAAAGGGCGGCTTGGAGCGACGGCCACCGATACCGTGAAGGAATCTGACCGGCTCAAGCTCCCTTCCGGAGAGAGATTAGTTTATTGCCCTGTGCCGACCCTGCTGTGGCAGGAAGGCTCCTGCGGGCAAAGCTGCTGTTTGCTCACTACTGTTATACAGAGAGAAATGATGTTTGTGCTGTAGAGTATCCTCATTAAAAGAAAGTCTTTGTTTTTTCACACGGCCTCTGAAGGCTTTGTCCCTCTTGCTTGCAGGGATACTTTTCGCAATACCCTGCGCTATTTGCCAGAGCTGCGTTCCCAGTGCAAGGGAGGGTTTATTTGCTGGCTGTTGTGAACAAGCTGTTCCTGCACGCAAGGACGAAAGTGCGGGTGGACCTCGGCCGCTCAGTCAGACAAGCTGATCAGAACGGGGTCAGTTTAAATTACCGTAAACAAACAGGGATGTTAGGCGTTATTTTAAATCAACTTTTTCTAGCATAGCTTCAGCCCCAGTAGAAATCAGGGCCACTCCCGTGCGACTCGGAGAGCCTTTTGCGCTGGGCAATGCCCGCAGGCACCCTGCAAACGCTGTCCCTGCAAAGGCGGCTCTACAGCCCCGCTCTGCCGGCGGACGGAGACGTGACCTGCCCCGTCCCGTGGCCCGTGCCGGGCTGCAGCCCCGGCTGCCGGCACCCCGACGGGTGCACGGAGGGGGGGCGCGGGTCATCCGCCCGGGACAAGCAGCTACAGAGGACGGACACGGCCCGCGCTCGGCCCACGAGGGAAACGCTGCTGCTCTTTGCCTCGCAGCAGGGCTTGCAGGGCAGCGCGTGCACGCCGGGGGTTCACGGTAAGCCTAAATAGACACCCACGGCAGCCCACACTGGAGCGAGTTTCTCTAGTAAACATAAACTTTATTTCATTCAAGGCAAAGCTAACTAAACCTCTACAGTGCAAAAATGTGCTGTAAGTCATCACACAGCATGTTGTACACATCCCGTGCTTATTCGCAGGTATCTCCTACATGTATTTATATATGCTTATACACATATGGGTCTGCCGCAGCACGCACCTCCGGCAGGGCCCCCTCCCCCGCGTGCCCCAGCAAGCCTTTGCAGAGCCCCCAGAGCCCTTGGACGGCAGGGACCCCGTCGGAGCCGGCCCACGCTCCCAAGCCAGCCCGCTCCCCAGAGCCCCCTGTGCCGCGTACAGCGCCCGCACACATATGTGTATAGAGAGAGTTACACTTCAAAAACTGGTTATGTTGACTTCTTCCATCAAGCCAGAGGAGTAATCCATGCATAGTACGGCATTGCATATCCTGTGGTAAGTGGAACCGTGTCCAGATACCGTCTAAAAAAGGCCAACAGGTTAGGACAGCTAAAAATAGTTCTTTAAAAAAATCCCTTCCCTCGCTGTCCTCTCCCATGGGAGGTCTCCTCCAAGGATGGGCTGGGGGGTCTCTTGGGGCAACGGGCAGGTCTCACGCCTTCCTGCCCAGACTCTCGCCTGTTAACGATACTTGGCCTTTACAGAGTGCCTTTCGCCCCAGGATCTCGGAGCACTTTGCGAAGCGATGCAGGGAGCCTGACACCTCCTGCGAGGTAGGTCAGATTTACTGTCCCCATTACACAGATGGGGAAACCGAAGCACAGAGAAATCAAGTGATTTGCCTGAGGGTCCCACGGGTCCTCAGAGAGGGGCCCGGGATCCCGCGGACCTGACTCCCACTTGCCCGTCTAACCAGCAGCCAAGGAAACCTGCCCGGGGCCGGGTGCCTGTACCCGTCTCCTGTCCCAAACGCAGGGCCCTGCTCCAGCGGGTGCCCCGGAGCCCAGTCCCGGTGCGGCCAGCCGGCCGTGCACCCGGGCGGAGGCTGCAAGGTGCTCCCCGTGCCGCCGTCCCCACAAGCGGGCAGGTGGGGTCCGACCTCTCCGACAGCGGTCTCCAGAGAAGGTAGCACCTCACCTTTCCTTGTTTGCCTTGCCCACCAAATCCTCGCCTGCCTTCCACTCCGGCCCCTCTGTCGGGGTGCAAGCCCCCACGGCCAGGGAAGTCAGGGCTCAGCTTTGATTCCCAGTTTCGAGTGGGGACGGGGAGCTGCCTGTCCTACAGCTTCACTGACAGACACCCACAAATAGAGGAGAAATAGGGAACAAATCGCTTCGTAAAGGACATGTCAGCTTCAGCTGTAGGATCAGCTCATTCCCCTCTGGTGTCACGTCCTGCTACAGCCCTTGGGAGGGGGCTGCGTTGCCCGAGTCCCCGCTGCGGGTACCCTTCGCAAAGGGCTTTCTGCGGCACCCCTCGCCCGAGGATCTCAAAGCACTTTCCAAATGTTAGCCAAGGAAGCCTCACAACAACCCCTGTGAGGTAGAGCAGTATTATTATCCCCATTTTACAGACGGGGAAACTGAGGCATGGAGCAGCAGAGCGACTTGCCCAGGGTCACCCAGCGGGCCGGTGGCAGGCCTGGGCGCGGGCTGGCGCAGCCCTAGCCCAGCTCCCCTCGCCGGGGCTTGACCGTGCTCCCTCCCTGCATCGCGGATGGAGTGCCACAGTTTTCCTTGGGCGAAAGGGAAACGCAACCAGCCATTTTCCCACTGGAGTCCAATATAAAAAACATCCGCGTAACGAGTTACGCCTTGGCGAGTCAGCATCAAAAGCATCGCTGCTCTGAGTGCCGAGCTTTAAAAAGAGGGGAGGAGGAGTACGAGCGGCAGCAGCACAAACCCAGGGAGAGCCCCCCGAGAAGGCTGGCTGGGGGAGAAGCCCCTCGCTGTGTGGGGCAAAGCGAGTGTGAAAAGCGGAGTTTCACCCCGCCGCGGGCCAGCAGTGACCCCGGGACACGGCCAGCCCCGGCCGCCGGTCCCCCCAGCCCTGCCACGGGAGGAACCGAGGCACCTCGGGGCCAGCCTGCCCCGCGGGAGCATGCGCCCAGCCCCTGCTGGGAAGAGATGACAGCCCTGACAGCAACGGGCCTTTCGCCGATTTGGTTCTCAGGTGTGCTTAACAGGAGAGCTGAAGCCAAGCCCCGTCGCGACAGCCCTGCTTTCTCCCCTCCTCCTGTGCCGGACCCATGAGAAACGCAGCGAAGGCAGGAGCCTCTGTCTCTACGGCAAGATTCGTGCATCCTTGCTTCACTCCAGAAACCTTCTGCATGAGGCAGGCAGCTCCTGCCCGCCCCAGCTCAGCATCGCCAGAGTCAGACGAGACGCCCCAAGCTCCTCGCGGCCTCTACCCCCCCGGCACGTCGGGACCCCCGGCCGCCCGCCACCCCGCACCCCGGGAGCGCAG